TTTTTTTTATTTTTTTTTATTTTTTTCCAAAATTTTTTAATGTTATTTAACTTATAAATTATAAAAAAAAGACAAGAAAAATAACAAAAACAATAATTTTATTAATTACTTAAAATGACATAAATTACAAATAAGAAATGATAAAAACATATTCTTTATTAATAATTGATAAATCAGTTACAAATTACAAGTACAAATTTATTTTGGAATTAATCGCATCACAATAGATAAGTAAATCCCAACTAGGTTGGCACCTACTCACCTATATCACTATCATTTGCAATTATTTCCAAAATAATTCTTTACAAATTGTAAGCTAAGATATAAAAACTACAATCTATTCTTTATATCTATCTGCTAGTCCCAATTCTTCAAATTTATCTTCAATTCCAGCCATCCGATCGATGCCTTGCGTTCGCTTCTCGTACCTCCACCAATCTTGTAGGCACATCACCGCTTGTACAGTATATGGATCCAAGCATGTCCTGTGATCGTCGATCAAATGACCTGCTGTGCTGAAGGCAGATTCTGAAGCTACCGTCGAAACCTGCACTGTTAGTAAGTCACGAACCATGGTGGAAAGTATAGGATATGAAACTGATCCATATACTTTCCACCATTGCAAAATATCTAAAGCATTTCCTTGACATCTAACTAAAGAAGCAGAAATATATTCATCTATTTCAGAAACCTCCGATGATGACGATCCAAGTCCAGATCCACCAGTTAGCTCAGCTACCATTGCATACCTATCAAAACTTACACTTTTACCTCGGGCTCGGGATGAGCTCGAAGAAACCGAGACTACAAGAAGAGGAGGATTGAGAAATCATAGATTGTCGGATATCACATTGAGGAGTCTGGCCTTTGTTGTGTTTATCTAAATGGCGTTTGAGGTGGTTGGTGCCGCTCTTATGATGAGCTTGAAAAATCTTGCCGCACAATGCACACTTAGCCTTCTGGGTGAGGATCCTATCGTGTTCATCCTTGGTGACGTCGATCTTCTCGTAAAAATTCCACACATCGGATCTTGGCCGTTTAGGAGCTCTTGGTGCAGATTCGTCGCCACCAGATTCGGGATTAACTTCGGTAGGAGTAGACCCAGTAGGAGGACTCATTTCAGGATCGGGAGATAGGTTTTGCTCTTCATAATCAGATCCGGAAGCCATTTGATGAAAGGATTAGAAAGTATAAATAAGAGAGTATAAGAGTATAAGAGAGAGTGAGAGAGTATAAGAGTATAAGAGAGAAGAGATGAGTTTTTGGTGTGAAGAAAACAAATGAAAACCCCCCTCTATTTATAGAACGAGGAGCAGCTAGGGGCACAGCCGTTGGGACACACTCGCCTACAGGCCACGAGTACCCCCTCGCTGCTCTAGCATCAACGGGGGTCCACTTGAGATTTTTTGTAAAATCTTCCAAGTGGGACCCCTTGCACTGAGTGAACAGGTAGAGGGTGTGGTTGGGAGTGTGTCCCCAGAGGTGTGCCTAGTGTTTTTTTTTATAGAACCAGCCCTAGGCAAAAATGCCAAGGAATAACCCTCACAAAATAGCCATTTTTTTTGAACCGTTTTTTGGGGGCAATAAACAGTCCAAACGGCGCGTTGTTGCTGCGTTGTGGTCGCGGGCCGCCGCGACCCGGATTTTTCAGGCAATGGTCCGCACTGGTGAGCCGTTGCCGCCCAGGGCCGGCTGCGGGGCGGGCTGGTCCCGTCCGGAATGCGTGAGCCCGGCGCCGACCCTGTTCGCGGACCGGGCCGGCGTCGCTGGGTAACCCGGACCCAGGCCCGGAACCGGGCTGGCCGCGGATTATCCCGGCCGAGCCGGCGGCCGAGCCCGGGCCGGGGTCTGGGCCGGGCTCCGGGCCGGCGGGTATTTTGGACAGCCCTAGCTGTAAGCCTGTCAGTGAATATTTGATGCTTGAGATGAAGCCTCTTATTATTAATGAGAGAGAAGATTGCAGTGTCAACAATGACAGAATGCGTTCAAACAAGTGCTCTTAAATTTATTCTTTAGCACCCAAAATTCACCTTCCTAACTTTGACGTCCTAAAGTTCTATTTTGGCAACTCATACCCCTGCAGCGTAAAAAAAAAAAACTCACGTTAGTTTTGTTCAAGATGTCAACATAGAAAAATTGAACGAGAAACAAAATTCTTTACCAAATTTCACTTTTTTTTTTTTAGTTTGGAGAAAAATAGGAACAAAGTTACGGGCCTATTGGCTTTGGGGTATCAAACAAACTGTCAAATTAACATCAAATTGAAAACTTGGATCTCAAAATTGTGAACAGAGTACCAAAAGTTGAAGTTAAAGATGAAACTTTGGGGGGTATTGAAGCGCAAATAACCATTTATTACTTAGTAAATAAAGTTTATACGCTTTTCTTAGTTTTCTCTGAAAAAATCTTGCTGATATAAAAAGCTTTGTCGACAAGTTGAACGGCTTGGTTCACGATAGGTAAAAATGTGGCGAGGTAACAGTGAACAGATCTCTCCTCCCTTCGTTCGGTTAAACCCTAGCTAAACCCTTCAAATCAGAGGGATTCAAGGAGATAAGAATGATGACGACGATGATGATTATGGTGGCGAAGAACCGGATCCGAGGGCTACCGCTGAAAACGGTGGTGACCAGAGCGTTTTCAACTGCGCCTCCGAGCGGTGAGAATAAGAGACTTTACCGGCGGTTATCGGCTCTGGGAACGAACCCAGGCGTGACCCGGACACTGGACGAGTGGGTGAAAGAAGGGAAGGCGGTGACGGAATCCAAGCTGGTGAACATTGTTAAGGAGCTCCGCAGGTACAAGAACTACAAGCCTGCTCTAAAGGTAATTGACCAGAATGCCCCTCTGATCTTTATAACAGAATGCGTTCTTATGATACTCATCATTTCGGTTATTTCTCAGGTCTGAATTAAAACGTGAAGTGAAAGTATGGGGGCGTTGTGTAAAACAACGTAATGGAATTGGTGGTGCTAATATAGATATATGAAGATAGGGGGCGTATAGAGAATTAATCAAGATCGAGGGGTCTAATGTAAAAAAGAGAACTTTCAAGTTAACTCAGGGACTGTTGTAGTTAGTAATTTTAAATATATATTGCATCTTGTAGAAATCCCTCCCTTTTTTGTTACTCCTATTTTGATAGTCATCCATCATGTTAACATACTTGCTTACTTTATTTTCCTAAGCCCCTTTAGCCCCTAAGTTTTTATCCTCTTACGTAGTTATTTTTGGTGCAATATTACCCTTATCTAGAGAAATTTTCACTATGATATTTTTGACGAACTTGATATGGTTGAAATTTGATAAGTTTCTAGTGTAGATGCTGAAGTGAAAAGGAGACATCATCATCATACGGCAATTTGGTATCATAAGCATGAACTTGGAGGGTTGTGAATTGTCCTTTAATTGTCTTTTGAGATTGTGTTTCATGTGTCAGTAAAGTGATGATGTGCAAAGGGTGTTGTGAATATCTTGTTGGTTTCCTTTTCCTTACTCTCTAAGTTTCATTTAATATAAAGTGA